GAGAGCCAAGCAGGAGGTGGTCTTACCTCCCAGCTTACTAGTGTCTTCAGCCGTTGCTTGCAGAGTTCCCACTTGTAGTTGAAATCTGCCCCTGTTCTCATTGCAGCAGCAGGCATATACCAGAACATAACAACAGCCATAGTGGTCCATGGGAGGGGGGGTGTAGGATGCTGGGCTAGGACACAGGAGACTTGTTAGAAATCCCCAGTGGGCCACGGATGCTCCTTGAGGGTGGGTGGTGACAATGGTAACACTACTCCTTCACCATCAACTGTTACTTCAGAAATCCTATTTGGGCTGCCATAAGCTAGAAGCAGCTTGAAAAAAAAACATGAAATGAAAAGACAGAAATTCTTCAGGCAGCAGCTGAAGATAGAAACTGTCTCTCCTAGCAGTGCTCAGAAATGTTGTTTAGCTACGACTGCGCTTTTGTCTGTTAGCTGAAAAGCCTCTTTTAATTTTCATGATCCACACATTTTCATACAGCAGAATGTGTAGCTTTGTAAAGAGGAACCATCACATATTCTGCCACCAGCTAGCTACCTGGAAGTGGGTGGGGTCTAGTTTTTGAATTATAAAACCATGTCAAAGAGAAGACGATTCAAAAAGTACATGTTTAGAATAGTACATACAGTGGTGCCTCGCTAGACAATGATAATCCGTTCCACTGAAATCGCTGTTTAGCGAAATCATTGTCTAGTGAAAAGCATTTCCCCATTGGAATGCATTGAAACCTGTTTAATGCGTTCCAGTGGGGAAGAATCGTCATTGTCTAGTGAAGATTGGCCATAGGAAAGCCGCTTTGCTGTTTAAATCGCTGTCTTGCAAAGCTTAGGTCCCGAAAACACCTGTTTTGCGAGCACGGAGGGAGCTGTCAAAATCATTGTATAGCAAAAATCGGTTTGCAAAGCAGGGACCAAACATTGTCTAGTAAAATTCCCCCATAGGAATCACTTTTTTGCGAATCGCTATAGCGATCGCAAAAAGTCAATGTCTAGCGAAAAATCTGTCATGCGAGGTAACTGTCTAGCGAGGTACCACTGTATTTTGGAAGAGGTATTCTGTTTCCATTTATTTGTCTGGTGAAGTAGACATAAGTGATCCTGAAAGCTCACATTAAAATATAATCGTTTTTAAGGTGCAACATGTTTCTGTCTTTTTGTCAGGGTTGGGTTTTTTTTTTTGTTTTTTTTTTGTATTAATTTTTGTCGTTTTGTTTTGGGTTTTTTGTATTTTGCTGGAATAGTTCATGTTATCACACCCTCCTGTAATCCAGTTTATGAAATTTAAAATGTTTTGAAAAAGACTTAAACTTGTTCAGTGATGGTAGTGGCAGGAGATGTGTTGCACTAATCTTGACAGGGTCTTCATAGAAACCATCACAGTCTTATCAAGAATAGGGGTGTGGAATGTCTGTGTGGAAATAATTAAAAGCAATTCATTCCTGCTGAAAACATTGATGAAGCACATGCACACTGCAGGGGGATTCCCACCAGTGTAAAAAAAAATCTGTGAAAAGAGGGTAATTGTACTTAAATTTGCACAGTCCAAGCACCAAATCAAACCATAGTTTGTTCTAACTATATTTACAATTGAATCTATGATAGCTTGAACTTCAAAATATAACATGTATATTCAGGGGTTTTCCCCTTCCTGTACTTAACTTCATAACAGCATTCCTGTATCTGGGATCGTGGGCTGTGAAAGCGTTGGAGGGAATGAAAGGAGCAGAAGAATGACTGGGACATTTTACCCCAAGTTTTTGTCAGGGAACAAGGATGAGGAAAGAGTTTCCCCTCCCCCCAGATGTTTATGCCTTGGCCCAGGACCTATCAGGTCTGGAGACAGCCCAATGACCCTAACTGTAGCTTATAGATGCAGAGATCACGCTACGCCATAGTCAGTTAAAACTTCAACCATAGTCTTGGGTTTGCTATCTGCTCACATTTCATGGTTTATCAAGTGACAAGCCATACCAAAGCATACCTAAATCTTTTGTAGTTTCACTAGCCTCTACTAATTTCTAAAGCAAAAGGCTTGTTGTTGTTTTGAGTTCACAGTGTGACCATGTAGGGATGAAGTATCTATCATCAACGTGGGGACGGGCAGCGTGGGGGGGCCTCTGCGTAAGACTGCCGCCGCGCCCTTTTCCTGAATCATCAACTAGTGACCTTGGGCTTGGGTGGGCCTTCCTCGTTTTCGGTAAAAGTTGTCTGCCCACTGAGATTTGCCTGCCACCCTCTTTTGTTGGAATAAGCTCTTTAACTAGAATCTTTGGTTGTTTAGTCTTCGCACTTGCTGAGCTGCCGTGTGTATTTGGCTCTTTTGATTTGTAAAGGGCGTTTTATTAAATCTTACCATCAGTTGATCAGAGCCATGGTGGCATAGGCCAGTGATTATCAAACGTCGGTCCCCAAATGTTCTTGGACTGCAATTCCCAGAAATCCTGGCCAGCACATTAAGTGGTGAAGGCTTCTGGGAATTGCAGTCCAAGAACATCTGGGGTCCCCAGTTTGAGAACCACTGACACAGGGGATAGAGTGTCTTCCCATAGATCAAGCATATTGAGTACATTACCATAATAACTAGCAAAAAAATTATTTCATTTTATTTTTGCACTCCTGGTCCTATGATTCCCGCAATGACTGTTTCTAGAGGTTTCTCTCAAGCAGAGCATGATAGCTGAAAGGTAGACCACAAGCTTTGCCCATGCAAGATCCAGAGTAGGCTAACCCGTAGCCCTGATTCTCGACACATGACCGGTCCTTATTCATTGCGATTCTCTTTTTAGATTGGACGTGATAAGTATGAGCCTGCATCTACCAATGAGCATGGAGCCAAAACGAAAAAGGGCAAGAAAGAGAAGGATATGGAAGAACTGAAAAAGGAGGTTTCTCTGGTAAGAGCACCCTTTCGCTTTTGAGGGAAGGAGAGACATTTAGCACCTGGAGAAAGCTTCAGGATGGAGAGTTGTCAAACATTTCCCCTTCCAGTTCCCTATGATTCTCTCCTGGACTTCAGCTGCACGCTCTGTTCCTTGCTCTGAAGTCTCTTATCTAAGTAACATTGTTGATATATATGCCGGAAAAACTGTTTCAATACTTGGAAGAAATTGTTGGTAAAAGAGGACTCCTAGAAGCACAGCATGGCCTGTCGCTTGTGTTGTGAACTTCAAGGTACCTTTAAATTTCAGCTTCCCATTGCTCATGGCCAGTAGTACTTTCTATCTGTCTCTTCCTCTTGCCTCATTTTTTTTCCTACTGCCATGGCAGGCATCCCAGGCAGCTTGCTTTTGGATGGCTGCGTGCAGGGAAGTAAACCTTCTATTGTTGACTCTAACCTAAAACAGATTGACAAGGGAGTCTTCATGTGTACATGACAACAAAAGCTAATTATTATTGGTATTAAGAGTATTCAGAGCCTTTTCCCACACACATCGTCTTGTCTTCCTTGCAAAATAAATCCTGTATCGCAGGTTAATCTTTGGCGGAGGGTTGAAGCTGAAAAGAGTGATTTGCCCTGGTTTATTGACTGAGCTGAAGGAAAAGGTGAGACTGGCTTGCTAACATCAGGCTCGGTCTTTTACTCTGGCAAAAACAGAGAGAGTGCACAATTGAAAAGGATGCAAGCAAGAGAGATGCTTGGCTGGCTGAAATCTAGTAGCAAATCCCCTAAAATTAACAAATTGCTCTGATTGGGCAAAATTAAATTGTTTTGTCAGTGCCGGTCTCGGCATTGTCATCTTTATGGGCAGTACTTTGGGCGTCCTGTGTCACTAATCTTTCTTATCTTATAGGATGATCACAAACTCAGCCTTGATGAACTTCATCGGAAATACGGAACAGACCTCAGCCGGGTAATGTGGACACTTTTGCAGGGGTATTCTGATTTAAAAGAAAATGAAACCTGTTAAGAGGGTCCCAGTGGTGATCAAGAAGCAGTGAATATTTTATCCACAGTTTGGGAGAGTGACCATACCCCTGGGTCTCCCACCCCCCCACCCCCAGCCTGAAGTAATCCTTTCAGAAGTTGTCCCTGAGAGACTTTGAGCTTACGGCAGGTGTTCATGCTTTACTGTGAGATGCCAGTTTGCCACTGCACTGTAAATGAATATGTACCCCGATACAGTGTATAAACTAAAATAGAACTGCGGGTCATGCAAGATGGTATGGGAGCCAGGCCTGTTGCAGTCTTGGAATGGACAACATAACATAGGTGTAATCGAAGAATGTTTTTAAATCGTTTTTAACTAACTTGAAAAGTATATTTTGTAGCTTAGCCAAACAACATATTAAAACAACCCAAGTTAATTGTTTTTATATAAGTGACTTATTAATGTGCTACAGATGACAAAATGCCATGTTAGAAGAAGCTTTCTCTCTTCACTCAGAGGAGACAATCCCTCTTCTATTCCTTCTACTGTGTTAGATGCACCATCTAAAAACAGTGTACTTTCCCCCCTACATTGCTTTAGAATTAGATGTATGCACACTGAATCAAGAGTCTCTTAAAGCACAACAAATTATTACTAATAAAGGAGTATGCCAGATGATAGAAAATGACTTTCTAAGGGAGATCTTTAAGAGGAACATTTCCATGTTTCTTAACTGTTTGTAGCTTCGAGGATGGTGTCCCCCGAATGGGGCAGAGTCATGCCACTTAAGCACAGAGCTAGGATTGAATGTCCTCTTCCTGTCTGTCTTGTGTTTTAGGGTCTAACGACTCAGCGGGCTGCAGAAATCTTGGCTCGTGATGGCCCCAATGCTCTCACTCCCCCTCCCACAACTCCAGAATGGGTCAAATTCTGTCGACAGCTTTTTGGGGGCTTCTCCCTCCTGCTTTGGATTGGAGCTATTCTTTGCTTTCTGGCGTATGGTATTCAAGCAGTAACTGAAGAGGAACCAAACAATGACAATGTGAGTAAATAAGTGTGGTAACAGTGGAGGGAAGAGACTGTGGTATTAAATTGCATAGTTGGTTATACTTGTCTCCTCTATGTGGCCCCATTCAGCCAGACTTTCCCATCATTGATGAATAACTCCAGGGAAGCTTCACATTCATACATCTTGCCCCCATTTATTTTATTTCACATGGTAGAGGATAAGAACAGAAGGTTTCATTCCTGTTCCTAAATTAATCACAATTCCCTATATAATATCCAAGCTCAGAATGGTGGTTTGTTTAACGTTTTCATTGATGCTGCAACCATGGTTCAATCCTGGTTTGGTCTCACTAACCATGGTTCTATGTTTGACTCAAGCCTATCATAGATACAAAACAAGGTTACTGTCCTGTCATTTCACTTTTTACTTGTTCAGAAATTGTGAATCATCCAAGAGGGTAGCCTGCGTCCAGGCCTCCCATTTCCTTGGGCTGTTGGGAGTTTCGCCGGTACTTTGGCTCTCTGTGGCCAATATTATTTCCCTTTAACAATCCCATATCAAATGTTTTCAAACTCTTTTACTAAGGAATTCTACCAAACTACTTACAGTCTCCTTTTCTGCTGCCCTGGAAAAAGGTTGGGCTTCTCTCTCTTTCTCCCTTTTCTTGTCCCGATTCCCATCCTTTTTTCCACTCCTGATTGATGGTCTTTGCAGGTAGCTGCTCACAAATAGGCTGCCCAGCCCTCCCCCCCACTGCTTATGTCTGGTTTTTAGTGACATCAGATTCACTGTTTGGTGCTGGCGCCACCCTAGATTTTCTCACTTAACACTGCATCTGTTTGCAGTTGTACCTGGGCGTTGTGCTGTCTGCTGTTGTCATCATAACTGGTTGCTTCTCCTACTACCAAGAAGCGAAGAGTTCGAAGATCATGGAATCCTTCAAAAACATGGTGCCTCAGGTAATACGTGGCTTCTTTTTAGGCGGCGGCTGTTGTATATGGAAACAGATACAATAATGGGGAGGGGGAGAGGCGTGTGAAGGTTCCGTTTCATTGAAAGCTCCTCTTTCCCTTTTGTAGCAAGCTCTGGTGATCCGAAATGGGGAGAAGTTGAGCATCAATGCCGAAGGGGTGGTTGTTGGAGACTTGGTGGAAGTGAAGGGAGGAGACAGAATCCCAGCTGATCTAAGGATCATTTCAGCCCATGGATGTAAGGTACGTGTGTCCTGAAGGGTGAGAACGTATTTGCAGAACAGCCAAAGTTTGCCTGGTTGGACTGATGGTGGACTCCCTCACCACCATCACCACCCCGACTTGAAATCTCTTCTGCAATGTCCCTCCAGCAAAAGTTTTCTCTTGCAGGTTGACAACTCTTCTCTTACGGGTGAATCCGAGCCCCAGACGAGATCACCAGACTTCACAAACGAGAACCCTCTTGAGACAAGGAACATTGCTTTTTTCTCTACCAATTGTGTTGAAGGTAAAAAAAACAACAACCCACATATATGAGTTTTGATCAGATATGCTAGTATAGTGCTGAAGGGTTCAGATTTAGATGTGATGAAACCTTCAGAGACTGCAAAATGAGGGCAGCTCTTGGCAGCAGGGGCGCCTTCTCTGTCCGTGAGCGCAGTAGAACTGGCAGGTGACGGTTCTGCCCAGCAGAAGCATCATGTAGTTGCTTGTGTTTGCATTATCTCCAGACAGTGAGGGTATTCAGGCAGAGGTACTTGATGGGTTTGCAGAGCTTGAACCCGGCCACGGCTTTGGCCATAACCGAAGCACAAACATCATCTTTGCTCCAGATGCCCCAGCTTTTTTTCCAACTCATCCACTTGAAAGAGTCTTTCCCTTCAGACTCCTTGTGCACACGTTGCCTTGTTGTGCTAGAGAGGAATCGTTGCGGAAGAAGGGGGGGGGCGGCCAAAGAGGCAGCAGGGAATTCCTCTCCCAGCTCAGAGGACAAAGAAACAGGGATTTGGCAAAAGATCAGAACATGATCAGACCAGGATGAGAATCTGTGTGCCATGCTGTTCGTGACGAGATTCGTAGTATGTTCGGCAGCTTGACCAAGAGGTGCTTCAGAGGCTTCGTTGTCTACGTGGAAGCATGTTTACAGTAACTTGAGAGAGTTGCTCACACCGTTTGCAAACAGACGTTGTTTGTCCCTTTCTCCAGGTACAGCCCGTGGTGTCGTCATTAACACTGGGGATCGTACAGTCATGGGCCGCATTGCGACCCTGGCCTCCGGACTGGAAGGGGGACGGACACCCATTGCTGTGGAAATTGGGCACTTTATCCATATAATCACGGGTGTAGCTGTGTTCCTTGGTGTTTCCTTCTTCATCCTTTCACTGATCCTTCAATACACATGGCTGGAAGCTGTTATCTTTCTTATCGGCATCATTGTCGCCAATGTCCCCGAGGGACTTCTGGCTACAGTCACAGTAAGTTGGGGGATAACGGCCTACCGTCTGAGGAGCTGCTGTGGCGACTTTCAGCCCCTTGTCTTGTTCAGCCAAACTGAAGGTATGAGGAAAAAGAGCCTCAAACTCTCCCTCTTTGTCCTTCTCTAGGTATGTCTGACACTAACAGCCAAGCGCATGGCTCGTAAGAATTGTCTTGTAAAGAACTTGGAAGCTGTGGAAACTCTTGGTTCTACCTCCACCATCTGCTCTGACAAAACCGGCACCCTGACTCAAAACCGCATGACGGTTGCTCACATGTGGTTCGATAACCAGATCCATGAAGCTGACACTACAGAAAACCAGAGCGGTAAGCCGGCTCCTGACTCTCTCAGGAGAGGAATAAACCCTGTGTTGATGCCTAAAATACCTAAGCTTAACATGACTTCAGGAAGTATTACTAAGAATCTACTGTGGGGAGCTGCTGCTGTTGCATGTGTCTGGGGGCCATCAAAATGGCTTCTTCCATCTGAACTGAAACAGGCTAGGTGAGCCTGGGAGATAGTCCAGCAGTATCTGAAGTGTTAGTGTTGGTGGTGCAAAAACAGGTTTCATGCTGGTGAACTCCTTTGATAAGGAAACTACTGGGAGCCCCATGTCAGAACAGCAGGGTATTGAGGATTTTTTTTAACCACACTAGTTTATTTCTTAGAAAAATATAAATAAATGTGCCACCCTGTGAGAAGGCACTGTTGGCTGTATAAAAACCTCAGTCATTTCCTAGGATCATTTCGTAGGCTTGAGGAGCCCCCCTTTATTTCTGGCCGCTGAATCTGTCCTAGTTATTATCCTTGCTTCTTAATGGATAAGAGGCAAAAGGAAGTCTTGTAGGACCGGCTGAAGAGCTGGGAATAAATCCGTGCTGGACCAGCTCCCACCTTTGGCCCCTCATAACTCCAGCTGCTCTGTGTGTGCCTGGTTTGACAGGGCCTGGTGTGGCGCCTCATTTTCTCTTCCCCTGGGCCATATAATCAGGAATCCTGTAATTATTACACAAAGGAGGTGGGGGAGGCAGGAGGAGCCAGTTCCTTCTCTTTTTTTAACCCTGGTTCTCTCTGCCACCCATCCGGAAACTCTGCCGTCACCCGTTTGAGTCATTCCTAGTGCCAGGGAGAGAGGGAGGGGAAACAGCAACAAAGCAAACGGGTTTGACTCTGAGAAAGGCATGAATGGGGACCTCCCTGTTACTTCCTCCAAGGTGCTTCCTTTGACAAGACCTCTCCTACATGGACTGCTCTGGCCAGGATTGCCGGACTCTGCAACCGTGCGGTGTTTCAAGCCAACCAAGAAAATGTTCCCATTTTGAAGGTGAGTGAATGCCTTCGCAAAGTCATCAGTGTGCAGTTCAGTTTGTCCTTTGATACAGTTTAGGGAACGCAAGGGAAGGGTGGCACCAACACATGCCCCTCCCCCCTCCCCGCAAAAGTAGAAATTCAACCAAAGCCACAAATAGGTTTATCTCGACACATTCCATGGATTTCAACAGGACTGCTTGACTTGTGTTCCCTGAAGGGGATGCAGCTGATCAGTAAAGGGCTTAGCAAAGCCAGGAAACTTAACTAGATGGGCTGCTGTGCTTGACTGATAAGATGGATTACCCTCTGTTTTTGATGGATCGAGAAGATTGGGAATCACTATAATTAGTCTTTCCTGGCTTGGAAGTTGTGCAGCTCTGGTTTTAGGCAGAGCTGCTTTTCATCCGTGAAACCAAACGGTGTGTCCCAGCAAGCGAGTCCCAGTGGAATAATTTGCACAGATTTAACAACCTGTAAAGTGCTTTGGGGGGCTGAAGCTGTTAACAAGCGCCTAACCCTTTGGCTGATTCCCCAGTTTATTAAATATATTCTTCTCATGTACCCCCGTTGTGCTTCAGATATCTTCAGTGCGTTCATTTTTGCAGGTTTTCCTCTAAACATGTCCTGCCCTTTTTAAAGATGGGTCATTTTTAAGAGAGGAACCTTTTGGCAGCTGGGGTGGCTCTTAAGGAAGTGATCATCATTGGGAGGCCAGTCTTCAAAGATCTTTTAGATCCTTAACTGTGAACTGTTGTGTTGCTTTCTAGAGGACGGTAGCAGGGGATGCCTCTGAATCTGCACTACTGAAATCTATTGAACTCTGTTGCGGGTCTGTCAAGGAACAGAGAGAGAAGAACCCCAAGGTGGTGGAGATACCTTTCAACTCTACCAACAAATATCAAGTAAGACGCCGTCTCCCTCTGTTTCACATAAACAGTAACAGCACCTTTCTTGTTGGTTTAAGCTGTTCCTAGGCTTAAGCCTGGTGCCATTTGCATTACATGTTAGTCAGAATGGCCACTGTCTTTGTGTGTGTGTGTCTGTCTCTCTCTGTGTGTGTGTCTGTGTGTGTAAAAAAGAGAGAGCAAAAGCACTTTGGAAGATTGAGTATAAAAACCTCAGAGTGTATCGTAAAGTAGGTGAAACTTGTCTCAAAACCACTTTCTAACACGGTTTCAAAATGCAGCTGTCCATCCACAAGAATGCAAACCCATCAGAATCACGGTACCTGCTTGTGATGAAAGGAGCCCCCGAGAGAATCCTGGACCGTTGCAGCAAGATCCTGATCCAAGGGAAAGAGCAGCCCTTGGATGAAGAGGCTAAAGATGCATTTCAGAATGCCTACCTGGAATTAGGAGGCCTGGGAGAGAGAGTCCTGGGTAAGGTGGCCTGATCGAGTCCTGTCTTGCAGTAACATACATGCTTCTTTGCACTAGTAGAGCCAAGAAAACACAGGGTTCGTTGGCGTTTATTTAAATGGAGCTAGGCATGCTCTGATGTGTAGTTTTTTATGGACTTCAATTAAAATGGCTTTGTTGTTAGTCTGCAAGTCTTGCTGCAGGAGAGAGAATATGGATCTGGCTGCCAGATAAGTTTTCTCATTGGCTTCCTAGATGCCAAGTGCAAATTCTGCCCCTGGGCTTCTCGAATGCAGCGGACAGCTTAGCCATCGGAAGAGAGCCCCTTATGGTACACTGGCACGTGACGCTGTTCGAATTGGATTTCTTGCAGGCTTTTGCCACCTGGCCTTGCCAGATGAGCAGTTCCCTGACGACTTCCAGTTTGACACTGACGAAATTAACTTTCCCGTGGAGAACCTGTGTTTCGTTGGGTTGATTTCCATGATTGACCCTCCTCGTGCTGCTGTGCCTGATGCTGTTGGCAAATGCAGGAGTGCTGGAATAAAGGTAAAGCTGCTCATCTTCCTCCCAAATACCAGATTCTTGGTCTGGGTTGGGGGCGGGGGCAACTCGTGTTTTAGAAAGACATTTCCATCTAGCTGCTGTTCCCCAGACCAAGTGTTGCCTCCTATTTCAGGTCATTATGGTGACAGGAGATCACCCGATCACAGCTAAAGCTATTGCAAAGGGAGTTGGTATCATCTCTGAGGGCAATGAAACTGTGGAGGATATTGCTCTTCGCCTTAACATCCCTGTCAGCCAAGTGAATCCCAGGTAGGAAGCAGCAATTCTGACAGAAGACAACGGTAGGGCTTGTCTTATTTGATGGGCAGGGGGTTGAACTGTCTTCTAAATTCTAACATTCAGATACTTATATCACCCAGCTGAGAAAAAAGTTGGTAAACAGAACTGGAGCCTTTTTTTCCCACACAGTCCTGACTCTGTCCCTTTTGCTTGATTTTTCTCAACTCGGCTCATCCTTGGCCGAGAGTCTTGGGAAGCAAGAGCTGGCACACCCCATCTTTGCGGCTGCATCAAGAGGGGAAGGTTTCCTTTGCGGGCCGTGGTGGTGCCGGAGATGGAGCAACCTCCTGGAGTTCTCACCCTGCCTCGTTTTACCTCGCAGGGACGCCAAAGCCTGTGTGATTCATGGCTCTGACTTGAAGGACATGACCAGTGAGCAGCTAGATGACATTCTGAGGTTCCATACAGAAATCGTCTTTGCCAGAACTTCTCCTCAGCAGAAGCTTATCATTGTGGAAGGCTGCCAGCGGCAGGTCAGCAAAACCCTTGCATAATACAGCACAACATAATATAATGCGTTAATCTTAAGAACTGCAGAGCTGGAAGGGACCCTCTGGATCACTGAGTCCAGCCCCTATTAAGGAGGCACTTGGGGGAGGGGTTGGAATCGAACTCTCGGCCTCTGGCTCTACAGAGTCACTGAGCTACCAGTAGTTCTGACATTGTTTTAATCAGCTGTATGTAGGATCAGCTTGTTGTAAGCGACTTTGGAGACTATCTGGTCCAACGCACAGTGCAATACAGGATGCAGCTACAGGATCCCTGAGAGATGGCTTTCTTCCTTCTGGTTAATACATTGCACTCCCAAGACAGTCTGTTTCCAAGTCCAACAGCACTTAAATCTTAGAAAGTTTCTCTAAAAGCCCAAATCTGCTTTTGCATAGTTTTCTGCTCATTGACAATGCACAGCGTTTCCTTAGTAAGATTATAACTATACAAGCTGCCCCTGGGTGGTTGTTTCCTAATAATTGAGATCCTTCTCTCTGGAGATAACTGGGCTGGCTCTGGCTTGGAGCCTTTTCCACTTTGCTTGTGGGGTGTTCTGTAGGGCAGTCGATGCGTTTGTGATGTTTTTGTAGCATTGTCCAGATACTGGGACAGACCTGAAGCCATCGGAGGCTTAATTGTAGGGTTCCAAATACATTGAGCCAAGAAAAGGGTCTCATTCAGGCTGTGCTTGAGACAACTTGCGTAACGTTGGCGCCTTGAGACTGAAGGCCCTGTTTTCCCTCCCTTTTTCTTCCTCCAGGGGGCTATCGTAGCTGTCACGGGTGATGGTGTGAACGATTCCCCCGCTTTGAAAAAGGCCGACATTGGGGTTGCTATGGGCATTGCCGGATCCGATGTCTCCAAGCAGGCAGCTGACATGATTCTGCTGGACGATAACTTTGCTTCTATTGTCACGGGGGTTGAAGAAGGTGAGTTCTTAGTCATATACTGTGAGCAACAAATTAGAGGAGAGTTTCCATTTCCTTTTAGTGAATGTGTGCTGTGCCGGGGTATGGGTCTCTTTCTTTGCCTTTCTTTAAAAAAAAAATCTGTGTGAACCTAGAACGTCTTCTGTAGGGGGCTTGGAACAGTTGGCCTTATGTCAGAGGTGGGGGCATGGCCTGGTGTTTTACCCTCATGTCAGAACCATCTTTCTTTTATCATTTTAAAAAGCCCTCTTTTGTTCTTCAGGCCGCCTAATTTTTGATAACCTGAAGAAATCAATTGCTTACACCTTGACCAGTAACATCCCTGAGATCACGCCTTTCCTCATCTTCATCATTGCCAACGTCCCCCTTCCGCTGGGGACCGTTACCATCTTATGCATTGACTTGGGTACTGATATGGTGAGTAGAACCATCCAGCAGGCTTTGTCCTTCTTCTTAGCCTCTGAGGCATCTGTTTCTATTGAAACACATAAATGTTTCTCTTGGCGTGGACAGCCCAGGATCCTGCAAGAGAAAACCTGTGCGGTGTAGCATCTAATGTTGAAACATCTCTTCCTGCTCTAAAGGTTCCTGCAATCTCACTGGCGTACGAACAAGCAGAAAGCGACATCATGAAAAGACAGCCCAGAAATCCCAAGACAGACAAGTTGGTAAACGAAAGGCTGATCAGCATGGCTTACGGTCAAATTGGTAAGCAGCTACAGCCGCCACCTCTCTTTGAGAAGTGGCTGTGGGTGTCCTCTGACTATGGACAGGTAGGGAGTGGGATCATGGGAAGTCCTGTCCCATCCATCAAAAGCAGGTGGGTGGGGCGGCCAGGCTTGGGTGGACACAAATATCACATTCACACTTAAATTGTGCCCGTCTTTTCTCTCTCTCTCTCTTACATTCACACAAATTTCTTCATGAGGGGAAATCGTCAGATCTCCCTTAATAATGTGGAGTGTGCTCTTCATGTCTCTTCTGCCTTTTCCTGTAATGTGCGAAAGAGTAACAAGAAGAGATGGAGAACTGGGGGGTGGGGGAGAAGCAAAAACCTCCCAAGGGTGAAAATAAACACTGTGAAAGGGTGGAAGAAGCACTCCCATGCCCAGCCTAGAGAAGGAGACATGGAAGTGGTTCCTGTAAAAGGCTGTGGATAGTTATGTTGCCAAAGGGGTGTGTGTGTGACAGAGAGAGAGAGAGAGTAGACCAGGTGGGAAGCATCCTTGGCACCTGGAGGGTTCCACTTTGTTGATTTGAGTCTTAAAGGATAGTTCAGAGAGCACTCCTGTCAGGGAAGGAAGGAAGGATAGCACCCCAGTATCTCCTGGCTTCTGCCAGGAGAGAGCCTACTTTCAGCTCAGCTAAGAATGCGAAAAAGCTAGTCATTGGGGTAGGTGGGATGGTTGATCCTTGCTGTGCATTTGTACAGCTACGGCATCGCAGAGGAAGTTGGTTCTAGTTTCTGTGAGCCAGGGAGATTTAATTCTTAAAAGCGCTTGGTGTAGTATCTGCTGAAAGCAGACTAAAAGTTTCCCCTCGACTGTGTTCAGGAATGATCCAAGCCTTGGGAGGTTTCTTCACCTATTTTGTAATCCTTGCGGAGAATGGCTTCCTGCCGTCATCTTTGTTGGGGATTCGAGTGTCCTGGGATGACCGGTGGATTAACGATGTGGAGGACAGCTATGGGCAGCAGTGGGTGAGTGCCCCCAAAAGCCCATGTTATATCTCCATTCTGGGTTGCTTTTTCTCCCGTGGGCAAGGAGAAGCAAGAATTTAAAAAACTGAACTCTTCCATCCCCAGACGTACGAACAAAGAAAAATTGTGGAATTCACTTGTCATACAGCCTTCTTTGTCAGCATTGTGGTGGTGCAGTGGGCAGACTTGGTTATCTGTAAGACTAGGAGGAATTCTGTCTTCCAGCAAGGAATGAAGTAAGTAGCAGGATCTGAAACCACCACCCACCCCCTCCTCCACTTTCCCAAAATGGCCTCGGAGATAATTTTTTTGTGATCCTCTCAGGAGGATTCAGAATATCTTGAAGTGGGAATGGTTAGGGGCAAGACGCATTAGGTTCTATGTGGAATGGAGACCTTCCCCCCCCCCCCC